ATGTTACCCGGCGTTTTGCAAATTATTCATATGGATTCAAATGGAATTTTTTGATGATTCACATTTGAACCTTCCCTTCTTACCTTTTCACAATATTTAACCTTCTTAATTCTTCTTGTATATGAGATATAGAGATTACTGAAATGATGTATGAGCGCTCGTAGGTTAATTCCAGACGAATTACTCAATTTTTAACAGCACTTTCAAGTATTAGGATAATTAATTTAGGGGGTCTACCTAGAATAGATTAAAGCGTTCTTGGTGGTTTTCAGCAGCTCTCATCTCCTTTTCATGCATGCTTTCTAATTCATGTTTGTTTTCTTGTTGTTTTGTTTTTCGTGGATGACACTTTGTTGTTGCACTTGTAGGTTGGGTTGCTGTGTTCATTCACCATTAGAACACTGTATTTTAGAAGGTATGCAGTGATGTTGTTCTCTCACCTATTCTGTAGAAGAAGGCTTTTGCATATAATTATTTTCTCCCTCTCTATAAAACCAAACATATAATATACCCTGTATATCCCGGTCCGAGGTAGGATCTGAGGAGGGTAGGATGTATGCAGACCTTACCTCTACCCCAAGGGATAGAGAGGCTGTTTCGGTGAAAACCCCCGGCTTGCGAAACAAAAAGAACAAAGAACATGTCTGCATGCATCCCCAGGTTTGGTTATACCATCAATCACCGGCTTACATTGATGTTATATCAATCTTCAGGAATTCAACAGACCGTGAAGTCTCTCTTATGATACTCATGGCTTACCTTTCATACATTTTAGCTGAAGTAAGTATTCTAGTAGTTATCCTGCATTCACGGGAGTTAATTCTTACACTAGGCCAATTTTGACTAGTTGCTCACAAGAATAACTTTGTTTTTCTTCCAGGTGTTTGGATTAAGCGGAATTCTTACCGTATTTTTTTGTGGCATTGTAATGTCACACTATGCTTGGCATAATGTCACCATGAATTCACAAGTAACTACAAAGTATGTTACCCTTTGTGCACTTCGTCTCAAGGAACATCTTCCACAAAAGTCCTTTTCCTAGGTTTCCATTAAAGCATTCATATCAGCTTGTTAATTGCAGACATGCTTTTGCAACAATGTCATTTATTGCCGAAATCTTCATCTTTATGTATGTTGGTATGGATTCGTTGGACATGGGAAAATGGAGATTTGTGAACGACAGGTAACGTATTCCATAAAATTTACCTCCATGTATCTCTCCTGATAATGTGTTCGGTATGCAGGACAGGATGAGGTATGAAAGTACAAAAACGACTGGGATAGACATGACCTGAGTGGGACAAAATAAATCAGTCTCAATAAAATAGGTGGAACAAAATCAGAGAGATGGGATAASATTAGTAAATTACTAAACTACATGTATCAAATTAAAACCCTAAAACCTTCAAGAATTCTTTCSCCCCTCAACCTCACTGTCGCCAGTCCATCCTGTCCTGATACCAAACACATAGTGTTAAATTGTTAATTGAGACTCAAATTGTGGCAGTCCTGGAAAATCTTTTGGGGCAAGTGCTGTATTGCTTGGACTGATTATGATTGGAAGAGCATGTTTTGTATTCCCAATTTCAATTATATCCAACTTAACCCGAAAGGCTACAAATGACAAGATCGAGTTTAAGCAGCAGGTAAGCAACTTCAGGTAATTGTTWGAATTTTCTCATCCATTATGACTACTGATGAACTCAAGTAATTTCTCACAGGTTACAGTTTGGTGGTCCGGTCTAATGCGGGGTGCTGTCTCTGTGGCACTTGCTTATAAGAAGGTAACTGAAGCTCTTAACAATTAGTTTTACCAGCTGGTCCTAATGGATTA